TTTCATTTACAATTAGCCCATGTAAATTTTGCTCCTAAAACGGGAGTTAACGTTGATTGAAGTTTGAAATCATAAAAGTGCCGATTTCTCGGTGTTCGGTTTTTGACAATTACCGTTGACCTAATTTTAAATGGCGTTTCAGTGAATAGCGCTACGATGTCGCCGTTTAACTTTTCTTACTCTTGGATATGTTGGCTTCATATCCGTATTTGCATATTTGCAAAATTCTATTGCGTTTTTTCACAAACCTCGTGCAAACCACCGGTATACTCTAACTTTAACACCAAAAAAAGTGCTTGAAATTTTTGATTTTCAGAAAAAAAAAAAACTTAATGCAAAAAATAGAAATACGGATTTAAACTTCATGACCTTTGCTTCAAAACAGTGTAAAGTTTTTGATCGCATGAATGACTGTAGAGATGACAATTAAAATTTTATTCACGTTAGTTAAATTATCAGCCCCGCTGATTTTCAGAATCACGTGACGCTAAAACAAACACAATGTTCACAAAATATTAATAGTAGGAACATACAAGTCAAGAGCTTTCTAAACATATATAGATTGTATGGTTTCTTGTAAAATTTATTCCGATTATAGGTGTTTACATTTTTCATGCAAAAAAACTATCCTGCTACCTTAACTATTACCGGTAGACAGATTTTGAAGAAAATATTATTAACATCTGTTTTTTCTGATTAGCAGTGCAAATGTCATTCTGGCAAATGTTTTATTTCAGCCAAATTTTAACCAATATCTTGAAAATTATACATGCTAGTCACACCAAAATTGAACTTGGTTGACATTTTATAGTGATTGATAAAATATCCAATATAATAAAGTTACCACATCATATATTTGAGTTACCCCGGTACCCTGTATTATATATTAATAACATTATAACATAATCAGTCTAATGTATGTTATAAGTTTGAACGAAATCCATCCAGAAATGCTTGATATTTGATGATTTTTTTAGCTCAAAAATGGCCACCAATCGGCCACTTTGAAAAGGATCGTCAAAACAATATATCTGTATATCTATGACATGATGTATAATAAATATTTAAAATTTGAACATAAGCAGTCAAAGCAAGTCAGAGATATGGCTCTAGAAGCCCATTCATTAAAACAAAATGGCCACCAGTCAGCTATTTTGATTCTTATCGAAAAACAAAATGATGTGCATCAAGGTCCTATAATGTCCAATGTATATACCAAGTTTGAACGAAATCCATTTGCAAACAGCCGAGAAATACTTAATTTTGATGATTTTTCAGTACAAAAATGGCTGCCATTCGGCCATTTTGAATCAGATCATGAAACAAATTGATGTGCATATGTATAATGTCATGTATGAATGAAGTTTGATTGTGACACACACAGACGCACAGAAGCAGGGAGGTCAATACATAAGTCCCCGTTTTCGAACTACGTTCGAACAGGGACTAATAAAGTGAAAACATCATATAATGGAGTGACCACATCATATAATGGAGTGACCACATCATATAATTGAGTGAACATATCATACAGAAGCAAAGAAGTTTCATAGTTTATAGTACATTGCATCATGTACCAATATAAGCAATATAAGATATTATAATTACCTAACAACTTTTCCATGTTTTTCAAAAATCTGAAATAAGAAAAAGAAAGTTAAATAATCAAAAAGCCACATAATTTGATATTCAAATATCAGTTTAATGCATGTACCAGCTATCTAGTATGATTTGATGTATAACCAAACATAATATGTATGTTTGTGGTAGAGTATGATATGAGGTATTGCAAAAATAAAGTATTTTGACATTTTATTGTCAAAGGTGTGTTTAACTGATCTTGCCGAATTATTAGCTGTACGTTCAGTTGCCGGCTGCTAATCATGGCATTGAATATGAATAGTTGTTACTTATTGCATGGAGCAAAAGATTGCAGTATTATAAATCTTGATTTTTGACCCTCTCCCATGCCAATGACCGCAATGCTTTGAATGGTATAACCCAACGTCAACAAAAACAAAATGGCGTAATGAACATAACATACGCTGGCCTTACAGCAAGTCTCAGAAGTATTGGGGCAGCCAATTTGCAAACTCGCTAGCTCGAGTTTTGACTAAACGGTTGGCTTTTGAATTTTGCTGGGGCCGGTTTGTGATCGCGTCCACTTT